GTGTGTGTGTGTGTGTGTGTGTGTGTGTTTATTAGCAAGAGGTTATCTTTAAAAGTAGCAATGGGTGTCATGCAAATTGTCCTTCAGGCTGGAAGCAACAACATTCATCCATAGCAGACACAGGAATTGGAAAAAAGGTTTAAAATGAGACAAAGTTAAGTATACTTTGTGTTTCCAGAAGCCAGTACTTTTAGTAAATTCATTAACATGAAAGCAATTAAATCTTTGGATCAACTGATGAGTAGCTTATATATTTAGTACTGATTTGAAATGCCATTATGTTAAAGAGGTAACTTAGAGAACTTGCATCTTGAGTTATCCTCTACACAACTGGACTAAATGTTTAGAATAATTTAACATGGTGTAAGGGTTAAGCATTGGAAAATTAAAGAATATTAGCAATGGAGTAAAATTAATAAGAAACCATTCCAAAATGATCATTTCTAAAAGTCTAAAACAACAGTATCGCCAGTAACCTACAACATGGAGTTTTCACCTTCATGTACTTGATAATGTGATTGCGCGGTAGTACATTCTCCTAGATGTCTCTATGCAAGGTAAAACTTTTTGGAATTCTAATTTATAAGACAAAACCACCTTGAGTTAGTGGTCACACACAAGGAATATATAAAAGATTAAAGGCCCACAAAGAAAAACATGAACCAATACGAAGGAATCGAGGAAGAAGCAATTAAGTCAAGGAAATACTAGTATAAATGCAGATGTTCTTCCATCGTGAGCCACGGGGTGTCGCTGTTCTCCAAGGAGAGGATTGTTTTAACAAAGAAAATTACGATGACTCCCAGAATCAGAAAGATTCTCCACCGTTCCGGAGCTTTAAAGACTATAAACACACCCATACTGTTAAGATCACCTGGGATCTCAGGAACGAAGACTCAAAAGAAAGATCGCAAAAGGACTACACCTTTCTACGCATGAAATTTTGATTTACTAACCGGGATCCAGGCATGGTGTTAGCTTCAGGATCAGGTGACGAGGGAGCCCGGCGCCTGCTGCTCTCGCTTCTGCTCCTCGCAGCCTGGGAAACGGG